GCTTCGGACTGGGAAGGTTTTGGCGCCCTATCTGCAGCACCCAGTGCTCCAGACTGCGCTGCTGGCCCCGTGCCTCCAATTTCATCGATCTGGGCGGTTGGGGTGGGTGGGTGGTTTCAGGTTAACTGTTGATTAGTGGTTTGGATTGGCGGTTTAGGGTTTTGAACCCTTGCTTCTTGTTAAGGGTAAATGGGAAAGTCAGGTAGGTGAGTTGGGTTTTTAACCTCCCGTCCACAAATCAACGTGAAACCCACCAGAGAAATGGCCCCTTCTAGGGGGGAAGCCAGGACCCCGCAGTTGGGTTTGGATGGGAGCTGGGTGATCCCAAATAGCTTCCCCAGAGTTAGCTTCCCTTTGTATTTGTTTTTGCTTTTTTGGGCTCCCCATTGTTTTCCACAACCAGGCCAAAACTACAATTTGTTGCTTTGGTCCTAGTTCCAGCCAAGATAGAAGCTCAGCGGAAGAGTGGTCAAGTCACTCGCCATCGAAATGGAGCTACTTTGGAAGCGACTTTTTCTTTCCGCGAGGCGATTCAGACGGCTTCCTGGCTGTGGCTGGCGGACCTGTTCCTCTCCAAGCGCGGCAGCTATTTTGAGGTCGGCAGAACGGGTGGAAGGGCTGGTGGGGCGGTGGGCGCTTAGCCACTGCAACCACAGACAACTTGACTAGGCTTTTCAGCTAGGTAAAGGCCCTTTTACCCTTTCTTTTTTGGTTGGGAGGGCAAGCCCCTACTAAAATAGACTACAGAAAAAACAAGTTGGCACCCTTATTCTAACCTCTCTACTGGAGGACCTAGTTGAAGAGGCTTTCTCTGGTTATTGGATGCAAACTGGGCTTTTCGTGGCCCATAGAACTGGGCCAGAGGGGAATCGGTTCAACTGGTTCCAAAGTAGACCCCCATCGCCTGTCATCCGTGAAACATGTGTTCTGCATGGGTGAAGCATGTGTTCTACATGGGGTTCCAAAGCTCTGTTTACAGAACTGCGGGCAAGTAGATGGATACCATCGGCAGTGTTGAACTTCTATGGCTTTCAAGACCCCCCCCCCAATGCCAATCGGGGCTGAGAGCGACTAATAAGGCCGGTCCCCCCTTCCCCCCCCCCCCCTTCAAGGTCGACAAGGTTTGGACAAGTCCCAAAAATTGAGATTTTTGGAGCCCCTTCGGTCCTCGTCCTCCTACTTCTGGTCCCTTCGGGGCAGTAGGACTTTAAAAGGCAACAGCACATTTGTTTGGTTTTGAGCCCAAAAGGGCCCTGATTAATCGCGGGGGGGGTTTCCTGTTAATGAGGGGGGACTGGCCTCCAAGCGGGGTCCCCTTTGTGAGCTTGAAAACTTGTCATTTTAAACAAATTTTAATAATGAACAATGCATTTCGGGGGAAGCACATTTTTGGGAAAAACTTGGGGTTCAATAGTGACTTAGTATTGGTGGGTTTAAGCACAGACCAAGCAAATACTAAGCAAGAAGGAAAGCACATTTTCTGGCAGGTTTTTGTTGGCTTGGGGGCTGCAGAGGGATACCTTTAATCAGGGGGGGTTTTGGGGAGGGCCCAAAAATAATTGGGTAAGGTTTTTTGGGGGAAACCTTGTTGGCACTTTGCTTTAGTATTGGTGAGAATCTGGGGTGGAAAAGGGGGAACCTTTAATCGGGGGGGGGGTTTACTAATCGCCTCCTGACATGAATTGCATTTTTTGGGGTCCCCTTTTTGTCTTTTGAGGAGCCCCTAAGTACAAAAGGAGCCTTTCCGCACTGTTGCCCTCTATGGTTTCCTCCAATGGCCCCAGCTGACGTGGAGCTTCCAAACCAGGACCCCAGGAAAGTGGAGCAGATAGGTAAAGCATCCAGCTGAGGGTTTTGGTATTACACCCTGGGATTGCACCCTTGGGAAATGACCCAGAATGGTTCAAAATAGCGCGGTTGTATCCGGAAATGTGCCTAAATGGGGGTCAATACCCAGTGGGTGTATTCCCAGGGTGTAGTACAAAAACCCTTAGACAATTCAGGACTTCTCCCCCCAAAAGGAGCATCGGGTTTCCTTTGCGTTTGCTGTTCAATCTCAGCTCATTTGTTCCAACATCACACTGAGTGCCGGACTTTTTGCGGTTGCCAACTTCTCACCCAACCTGAAAAGGGGTTGCCCCCCCAAAAAACAAGAAGAAGCAATAATAAGAAGAAGAAGCTGGGAGGTCCTTTTCTTCTCCCAAACAAAAACCTTCCCACAATGAGAAGCCTGCAACAAAAAGGGACGCGACACCCAAGCGGCTTCGATTCTGACTGGGCCCAGATCTCGGAGCTGAGCGCCTCCATGCTGCCCGGGGGGGCCTTGACCTGAGAGAAAGTGCTTGGCTCGCTGGAGGGGGCGGTGTGTCAGGTCAGTGTAGGAGTGGCTGTGGGTGGGTGTGTGTGTGTTTGCATATGTTTATCGTGTTGTTGGTTTTTGGGGCGGCGTGTTTTATTTGGTTTATATATTTGTGTTTTTGTGTTTGGTTGCTTGGAGTGGCTGGTCCTTTAGCAGACTTGGTTTGGAGCCAGACTTATGTTTTGAGGCATCTTTCTTTGCGCGGATTTTGTGTATTTGCTTCTGAAGGGGTGCCCACATTGGAGATGTCAAAGGGGCATCGAAGAGCAATCCACGGATTCTGGTTGGCCGCTTATCCCCTCGTCTCAAGGGTTATGCGTCCATGTTCGGCCTGTTAACAAATCACCTGTCAACTCAAATGTTTGATGAGTTTCTGGAATTTGGACGGATGCATGTGGTGTGGAGGACTGTGCGTTTTGATCCCAGCTTGTTCCTTAATTAGGCAGCTGTGGGAATACCCCATGGAGTCTCTTCTTGGGATGGCGTTTAAGGGGCAAAATATTCCCCGTGTCTCCCGTTTTTGGTCGTGGGCTAAACGGCGCCCGAGGCGAGCTTTCGATACTTCCACCAGAAGGCCATGCCGCTCGGCTGCACCTTGGGATTCGCGGGTTTGAGTGATGCTCCAGGTCTAGGTCTAGTGAATCGAGTGGCTTTAACAACCAAACATTTGCCTGTCTCCTGGCCTATGTCCTGTCTTGTTTGGTGGTCTAATGATTCCCCGGCCTTTGGCCGGTTCGAACTCGGGGACGTGGGCCGCTCATGTTGGCACTGCTCTTGGGAACACCCCCAAGATTGGTTGGCCGGGCGTAGATCCCTGAAGCTCCTTTTGTGATACGATGGCGGACGCCTTGGACGCCTTGGACGCCTTGGGCCCCTTTGAACCCCAGAGGCATCAGCCAGCCGACTGCAAGTCTAGTATGACCTGTACTTCAACCATCTTCAACCCGGAGTCTCCAGACCCTTAAAAAGGAGATCATTACCCCAAAATAATGGGGTCATTGACCCATTTTTAAAGGGTCATTGGATAGAATGCAGGAACATCGCATCGCCCAAGGCAAATTCTTTAGTAGGTGGTTTGAGGGTTATAGCGAAGCCTACATAAACCTTTGTAACCATGCTCGTTTTCGAGTCAATGGGCTTCGCTGCTCACTTGGCTCGACCTCACTTTGACGGAGGTTTGCAAGGGTCCATGGTTGCAGCTTGGTGCGTTGTGCCACACCCTTGTTTACGAATCCTGCAAAGTGGATCAGAAGTCTTCTCAAGCTGACGTTAGTCTTTCGGAACCCTCATGTCTGAAGAGGTCACTTGCTGACGGAACTTAACGTTCTGATTTCCGTCCGCCAAGGTGACCGTTCTGAGACAACGCGGCTTGGCCTTCCTCCGAATTCCCTGCAGCGCGCAGGACATGCATTTTTGCCCGCACCACGTCACGGCCTTGCTCGGGAATCCGAGCTTGACCTTGCTTTGGAACTGCCAAGCAGTTGGAACATAGTCGGAACATGTTTCACATGTGCTGTCATTGTCAAGTCTTGGCTGTAGCGCAGCAGTTAGGTCACGAGTCACGAGGCATTTTGACGTTTTGGGTTCCCCAAGGTTTGTCACTAGCTAGATAGCCAAGTTGCTGCTTGTTTCCAAGCACTACCCCAACGACAGTCACAGTCGCAACTGGCGATCCAGGGAATCATTCCTTTTTCAAAGTTTGATGGGTGTTTTGGTTGGGATTTGTTCTGTTGGTAAATACTGTAAATTGAACATGCCGGGACGCAGCCTTGAATGAATTCATTTCTGCAGATTCTGTGAGCAATAGGCTATTATGTGTTTGCGAACCTCTCCGAGTCTTTCGGCATGTTCTCGTGTTAGGCCGACTTATTGCCAAAGCCGGGTAATTTGATGCCGGGGTCATGCCAGCAAACCCTCATTCACAAGGAGAGTTTCGCAGCGTCTTGAATTCGGAGAGGGCTTGTCGAGGAGAGGTGTGTCTCTCTGCTGCCCTTTTCTCGTGGCGCGTGGAGGAATCGCGCCACGTTTCACAGCTAGGTTTGTTGCGTGCTTCCTGCCACCTAGGCTGGTCGCACGGCACAAGACCGAGGAGCCGCCCTGCTTCCAAGAAGAGCTCTGCAGGGTTGCGGAGGAAAAGTGGGCGTCGCATCAAAAGTTTGTCATGCTGGAAAGAATCCTCTTGTAATTTGGGGGCGCGGAAAACAAGGTCTTGTGGCACCTTTCCCGCTTACAACACAACTTCGGCACCATGGGCGTGTTTGTTTGAGGCTACGCCAGTCAGGTTCGTTGCTGCACCGAAGAAGCGACGCCGCCGATATCGGCTGCGGATCCGCATTTTTCGGTGTCTTCCGTTTAGCCCTTAGTGGTTTGGATTGGTGGTTTGGGGATTCGAACCCTTGGTTCTTGTAAAGGGCAAATGGGAAGCCACTCCTTAATTGGGTGGAGGGCCTGTGACAGAGTCAGCAAAGCTAGCCTCGGCATTCTAGTTTCTGACAAAGGCAATCTAGTTGCAAGTCATCCTACTGTGGATGCCATATTTGGTCATGGCAACCCAAAAGGTGATCACCTTTTAGTTGCAGGTCCCTAAGGGGCAACTGCGAAAATGAGGCGCCAAGGCTTAACTTCAGTTTGTTGGACCTAGGCGGACTTCGACTTTGTGATTCCGAAGACGCAGTCTTTTAGCTTTCAGATCTCGCCCGGGACGCCCAGGGGATGGGAGTCATGGCGGTTTTGGGTACCCGAAAATAGGGCCCGTGCCTTCATGCTCTTGGACTCATACGTGGAAAGGCGAGGGAGGTGGCATCAACATTTGCAAAGGTACAGTATGTATTTTGATGATGGAGTGTCTTATTCGGCCGCCGCGTCCTTTTGCCTGCAAGGTTACTCTCTGATTCTAGGTTCGGTGGGAGGGTATGATGTTCCAGAAACACCTCAGTAGTTGCCGGTGGCCTTAAGCAGCGAAGTTGTCCACCAAGGACCCCCCATCCAAATTCACCCCCATGAAGCCGTGACGTTCTGAATTAACCGATGAGCTTCGCCATCTCTCAGGTCGCACCCACCCACCTTCCTACTGGGAGCCGGGCACCTTGGAAGAGGGGCGAAACATCCAAAACCAGACGCGTGATCCTGGCCTCCGGCCTCCAGTGGCAGGCCTTTGTAAACCCTTTTCTTGGAGGGGCTAGGTCCCCCAGCTAGGTAAAGGCCCTTTACCGTCTCTTTTTTGGGGGAGGGTTCCCCTACTAAAATAGACTACAGAAAAAAGGGTACCGTTATTCTATCCTCTCTACTGGAGGACTTAGAGGGGGTTCTCTTCAAGATCAACTGCCAGCAATATGGCGCCCCTTTTCCGAAGCTTAACTTGGGGTAATTTTTTGGGGCTGCGACTGAACGCAGAGCAAGAAGGGGCTTCCGCCAGAATGTGTGTGTGTGTGTGTGCTTTTTTAGGGTACCCCCTTCTGAGGTAGTTTCAAAGGAAGCCAGAAGGAAAGCCACCACCATTTCGATTTTATGACATAGCTATGTTGGCTTTGGGCACTTCGCATTCGTTAGATGAGCTTCCCTGCAGATATGTTGCATCACCACGCAGACCCCTTGGATATGCTGCAGACATTGTTTGGCCAACGTGATTGCTATTTACCACGGCCCCCTCAATAGAAAAGGGGCTCCTCCCACTCTAAGGAGGAGTTTTTTTCTTCTGGGAAGAGATTTGCCGCTTGCCCGTGCTTTTACCAAGTCGCACATCAAAATCCTGCGCCTGATTGAATGGTCTTGAACAAGGCCCTCGCGGATCAACTTACTTGTGATTGAGAGGACACCAAAAATGGTGGTTGTCCTTTGTGTTTCCTTGACAAGCCACAGGGAAAGGCCACAACTCAAGGGCACCCTCGAAAACAGTGACACCCAGAAGATGGTTTTTGTTTCCTGGATGACTTTCGGAGATCTCCAGTCGTTCCATTTTCAACCTGTGACTACATGGCCATAAGTGTACACTTGGGATTTGGTTTTGTTTGATGTTGGGCCAGTTCTGTTTGGGTTCTTTTGTTTTTGTTTCTAGACCCCCGAGTTAGCCCCGGAGACAGGCAAGTCCGGGGGGCGTGTAGGCAAGTCTGGGGGGCGTGTCATGGGTTTCGTCTCAGGTGCAGCCGCAGGCGCCCCACTCCTCGGCCGCATGGCAGGTCGGCCCGATGGCTCGATGGCGGAATTCTCTCATGGGGGCTGGGGGGAGGGAGGGGAGGGGAAGGGAGCCCAAATAAGCCCTAAATAAGGCCTTATTAAGGGCTTAATAAGGGCTTATTTGGGCTCCCTCCCCCCCCCTCCCTCCCCCCCAGCCCCCATGATTCTCGTTCGAAAAGAGTCCGGCGGTGGGTTGGTTGGGGTTGGTTGGAAAAGCACGAAAGCTGGTGAGTTTGGGGTTGGTTTGGGTTGGTGTGTGTTAGGAGAACCCAGCTACTGTCGACTGCCTGGTTTTGGAGGAGAAGCAAATGAGCAGGGGTTAGAGCTTGCGTTACCACCAACACAACGGGCAAGGTTTCTGCCTTGGGGGGGCAGCAAGACCCGGGGAGTACATCCCAAACACGAGGCAGGGCTTCAGCTTTCCCTCATTGGGTGGTGTTTGTTGTCGCAGTTGTTGTTTTTTTGGATACCCCAGGGTATTGTGTTAAACAGTTTGTTGGGGGGTGGTAAAATACAGCAGCCGTTCTGTTTGGTTTTCTTCTGGGTTCCTTAGGCAGCGCCTTTTAGGCTGCAACACCGCAGCTAGGTCATTTTCTTGCCTTTTCCCAGTTTTCCTGTGATTGCATTGTTGGTGCAAAATGCCAGCTAAGAGAGATGCTTGTTTGGTTCCTGCAGTTTCTGTATCCCTTAGTTGGTGGATTCGCGGTTTTGGGGATTTAAACCCCTGGCTTTTGTAGAGGGTACATGGGAAACCCCTCCTTAACCAAGCCACCGATTCGGCTCCAAGCCACGTATAGGGAAGCTGCTGGTTCGGTTTGGGAATTGGAAAAAATCCCAGGTTAGTGGATCCAAGGACCATTCTCCTTAAGGCTTGACTGCTATTGGGCAACGGATCCTTAGACTTTAACTTGTTGGGAAACCAAGTTGGGTTTTCCGTACTAAACCCACAAAAAGTGGTCCACTTTTTGCAGAGGGGTGGGCCAACGGCAACCAAGATACAAGGCTCGTCGTGTCGGCAAAGCGAAAGCCCTGCGCCAGGTGTCCTTGCGACCCGCCGGCCAGCCCGGCGGGGGCCTCGGGTTGCCTCGCCGGAGTTCCCCTCGGATTTGGAGGGGTGCGGGGAATGTGGCTGAATGAACCCGGGCTTTGGTCCCCCAAGGAATCCACCAGTTGGATGGTTCATAAGAGTCATGCCGTTTCTCATTTTTTGAGTACCAGCAAGACGTAGGTTTTTGTTTTTCTCCAAGAAGGGAACATCATGCTGGGATGAGAGTTTGTCTCTTTCTAGACCCCCTATTTATTTGATACATAGTCCCGTGAAACACTGAAACACACCCCAACAAGGGCACCCACAAAGATGTTCTCTTTTGTCTGCAATGAGCTGAAGCCCAACCCCAGTGAGGGTGACATGGAAGAAAACGGGAGGGGTTGGCTTGGGCTCGGTGCCCTCTTTGAGGGCTTCCCATGCTACTCGGGGGAATTTTGGGTTTCACTAGAGGAAGTCGTGACTCGAAGGGTTGCCTTTGAGGAAATTGCTGGTTGAACTCCTTGTATCTTCTTGTTTCAAAGGGAAGGTAAAGGGAAGGTAGCCATTTGGTGTTTCCACATCTGAAACAAGCTTGATTCGGGCGTGTTCAGAAGATGGGAGACTGCCCCTTCCGACAATGGGAGGGCTGGGGTCCGGGACCTAACTCCTTTCAATTATATGTATTTAGTATGTTAAAACATGGAGCATGGAAACACATATGGAATTTCTGTGGTCACCCCCTCCCCCAATCCCATTTTTAAGGAGATATCGAGAGTATTCTATGGAAAGCACCGTGACGGGCGAGAGACAGCTGAAAGATCGAGCCAGCGAGGCCGAGGGCGAGGATCAAAGCACCGGAATGTTGACCCAGGATTCATCAGCACCTCAGTTGCTGAGTGGCTCCAATTCTTTTTCCTTTTTTTTGGTGGGGCTCCCTTTTTCCTTTTTTTTGGTGGGGCTCCCTTTTTCCTTTTTTTTGGTGGGGCTCCCTTTTTCCTTTTTTTTGGTGGGGCTCCCTTTTTCCTTTTTTTTGGTGGGGCTCCCTTTTTCCTTTTTTTTGGTGGGGCTCCCTTTTTCCTTTTTTTTGGTGGGGCTCCCTTTTTCCTTTTTTTTGGTGGGGCTCCCTTTTTCCTTTTTTTTGGTGGGGCTCCCTTTTTCCTTTTTTTTGGTGGGGCTCCCTTTTTCCTTTTTTTTTTGGGTGGCTGCCCCACTAAAATACGGTCTTCTCAAAAAAGGGTCCCCAATTTTTTTTTTTCCAGGGTCACTGAACTGAGATACTGTGCTATACTCAACTCCTGGTTGGTTCATAGGGGAGATCCTAGGCGCATGTGCCCATTGGACGCGCATTCAACGCAACCACTCGGCACGCTCATTTCTCCACCGCAGCTATGGCATCTCCGCTCAGCCGAAAAGGTCAAAGTCCATCTCCTCTTCCTCTTCCTCTTCCTCTTCCTCTTCCTCTTCCTCTTCCTCTTCCTCTTCCTCCACCTTCTTCTCCTACGGCAGTTGGTTGGCTGGCTGCTGGGAATCTAGTGAACTAACCTTCTCTTGCTCTGCTCCCCGAACCAGCTGGACAGAGCTTCTTCAAGATCCCCACCCCCTTCAAAATGGAATTGGGGGAGGGGGGTGACCCCTGGAATTCCATTTATGGTGTCATTTTCCCTTTTGTGGGGAAGGGTAAATAACCCCCCTCCCCCTTAAGGTTGGGGGGATGATCCAAGTCTTTTTTGGGCAAGTACCCCTTTATCCTCCGTACCTGGCCAGCTTTGTGAGCGAAAGTTGGGAACTGGTGTGTCTCGGATTGGGGTCTCCGATCCCAAAACCTATCCGCTATATATTTTAGGGTAGGCAAACTGCGAAACAGAGTCTGAACAGTTGTTTTGCCGTGCGCCCCAAATCTGGGCCAAAGATCTGAGTTGCTTTTTTCTTTTCAGCCCCACCCCCAATGAATCCAGGTTCCATTTGAGTCCGGGAAATCTGCATGAGGCTTCGGACACGAGACTTTCCTCCACAGCTGGGGCAGCAAGCCGAGGGCCTCAAATTCGTTCGCTGGTCCTCTGACAAGAGCGGCTGAGTTTGGAGGTTTGGGGTTGCCATGGTGCTGGTTGCCAGATCCCCGTCACATCCCAAGATAATCTCCATGTAATTCTGGTGGGTATGGGTCAAAATTAAACCACCATGGGACCGCAGGTGTTGGTCCATGTTTCCATTTTGGGTACATATTTTTGACCCGCAGCCAGCCTGGTGTCTACAGCCAATGTTACAATTCGCACCAAACACGAGTGAACTCGGCGAATCTCAGGGAACAAAGACAAATCGCACCTCGAAGACACCAGCTGTGGTTGCTCCTTTTTTTTGGGGGGGGGGCAGCTAGGCCAAGAATTCCTTTGTCTCACCCAAAGAATCCGTTGGCTTCCCTTGGGTTTTTGTTTTAGGTTTACCTCGGCGAGTCCCAGAAACACAGAGACATCGCAAAGACCTCGCGCTCCCTGGCTTCGACCTTTCGGGGTTCCCCAAGCCGCTTCGCCTGGGGAAGTTCGCAAAAAGGGGAACGCGCACCTGCAGCTTGAAGTCCGGTGGGGTTAGCAACCCATTGAAACCCCGGTGGGTTTAGGAGGGAGGGTGCACGGAGGGTGCCATGTAAATGAGGAACACGCCGTACAGCCAGGTGACCAAATGGATTCTTCCGGGCCAACAGAATAGAGGCTCAATTTCGCCCAAGCCTGAAACTAGATAATTGTCAAATGTAAAAGAACACGACTACCCCAGTGACTCCAGAAAACTCACATAGTAGGCAAAGGAACCACCCCTTTAAGAACCGAAGCATAAAATGCACTTGAGATCTACTGGGCTTGGCTTGAGTTGATGCCTCATTTGGCTTCCGGATGTTAGGTATCAGGTGATGACGCCAAAGGCCCAGGAGACATAGGGCAAGAGCCGGGCGGGGGCGGTCGGGGGGTGCGCTGCATGTTTAAGGGGTGGTCAACATCGCGGTTGTGTTTGGGCTTTTTGGAACCAACATTTAAAATTTAGTTGAGGTCACCCCCCAATGGGTGATTTGGATTGGCGGTTCGGGATTTGAAGCCCTGACTTTTGTAGAGCCTACGCGGGGCACCCCCTCCTTAGGCCCAATCCAAAGCAGAGTGTCATGTCCAGTCGCTTCTATGGACTCAGGGGCCTGGGAGACAGTGGGGAACAGGGATTGCTGAACAGCATGGCGGCGGGCGCTTGCTCCAAGCAATCCTTGACACCGTGCGAACCGAGCTGCGCTGCCAGCTTTCTTCCAAACGCCTCCTCCCCTTTGGATCTCTCCCAGGCTTCCAGCAGCACCGAAATCCATCCCCGCGCTCCGCGTTTTTTTTTTCTCCTGAAGCGCGCGGTTGGGGTCCCGGGTCGAACCACGTGGAAAGGAGCTTTCTTGGAGCGCCAGCCTGAACTTGAAGTCCAAGTACGCGGAGGAGGCTAGGCTTCGGGACGGCTCACTGCGTCGATGTGCTTTTGTTTTGGTGGGTGACATCGGATCTTAGGAGAGGCGCGCTGTGTATGGCTGCCTCGATTCCAGAGTTGTGTGCAACGGGTTTGGCATATAAGTTTTTCCAGGTGGATTTTTGACATCAGGTTTGGCGGCCTTCACAATCAACAGGGCGGCCTGGATGTCCGGCACCGCGGAACTTCGACAAAGTGTTTGGCGGGTAAGGCAAACACTGCGCGTGATTTCAGGAGTTGATTCGGAGCTTCGACTCACTTGTTGAGTTTGCGCCGCAGCTTCGAGGAACCCTTCGAAGATCACTTTTGCGGAACTTTTTATAGGAACCCTTTTCGAAGCCTTTTCTTCTCGACAAGGTCCGCGGTATTGTCCAGGCAGCACACCCCTCCCATTTCTGTCTCGCACAAGGTCTGGGGTAAGAAATGGATACTTCAGGTCAAAGGGCTGCTCTGGGCCATGTTTGGGGCTTTGGCATAAAATGCGTCGCTTGTGCTTGCACGACTTTGGTTCTGAATCAAGGTCCCAAAGTGGGTATTTGATTCGGTCAAGGCCGAGGTAGGGATGGGTTTGTGCCCAACCTGCTGGGCTGGGCCTTGCCACATTCTGCTGGGTCTCAGGCCACATTCAATTGGAACCCAGAAGTTTTCGACTGGAAGCCCCCTCCAACCTACCTTTCCGTGGACCAAGTTCAGAGAGCCAAGCCAGGCCCGGCCGTGCTCAGGGGCACCGGGTGACATGAATTGTGGGTGGACCCCTGCCCCAAATGGTTTCTTGGGCGCATTTTGCTTGGATGTTAGGACTTTAACTTTTTGCCAACTAATGGGTTTTCCATTAAACCACTAAAAGTTAAACTTTTAGCAAGGGAGCAGAAAGCAACCAAGGGTTTCCATGTGGTTCCCTTCAAAAAATTGCCCCAAAGTTGTTTGCCCCCTTTTTTTGGCCCTACATGCGTGGCCCAACTCGCCAACTGGAGGTATAAGCCTTTTCCCGGCGAGCCAACCATTTAGGAGGGACCGCACGTCGCTCGATCCCCGAAAGCCCCTTTCCCACGGCCAGGCCCAGATCCAAGCGTTTGTGGTGGACTCCCGCATTGCGCACCTGGAGGACGGGCTCCGGGCTGTGGCCCTGCCGGCGCTTTTGCGCCGGTTCCCCCAGGCGAGCACCCGGGCGTTGTGGTTCTCCCGAAGACAAGCAGGGAAACACCCGGGACATCCACCTGCGAAATTCCAGTGGGGCAGTAGGATGGACAGGTGGCGCAGGGAGCACAGTCCATTTGTTTGGCATGCTTTTTCAATATTACTCTCACCTAAGAGGGGGCACGGGTCACTTTCGGGTGAGTGTGAGTTGCGCCCGCCCTGAGCCTGGCTTGACGTGAGAAAGAGCTCGGCGTTTCTAACAGGACATCCATGCGCAGAAGCAGTGCAGCTTTGAGGCAAGCTGGTCGCGGCCTGAGCAACGACCATCGCGACACCCAGCGGATGCAGGTGGGTCAATTGAGGATCCCGTGTGTTTCCGGTTTATGAACTAGAGCAGTGGGTGGTTCCCTTATTATCATGACATATTGGAAACAGGAAGCAGTTGGTGCGTACAGTGGGTGGACAGAATCCACGCAGATCGGCGACGCCTGGGACGGGTGAAAGCCTATGGTGGTAACAAGAAACCTTGCAATGATTTGACCTCCAACAAAAAGCCTAGCTAGATTTGTTTGTTCCCGCTGAGTCGAAGCGCTGGTTGGATTTCCATCCATTCCCCGTTTGTAATTTTCCCAAGCCGCAGGAGGATGCCAGCAGAGGGTGGTTCATGTGTCCTGAAGTGCCGTCAAGCCCTGAGTGCCAATTGAAAGGAAACAGGTCATGGTCTATGGTATGTCTTGTCCATTCCCCAGTGGAAGCCATCTTGAACCATTTGACAGTCCGTTTCTTACGCCAGAGGCGAGACCTTTTGAGAAGCCTTCCGCATATGTTTGACCAGTCCGGCCTTGCTGCTGGCGGCCTCGGCTGTGAAACGGATGCCCCGATCGCGGATCGCATTTCATTTTGCAAGTAAATCAAGCACACACCACAAAACTACGGCAAATTACAGGAGGATTCGGGTGGTTTCCTTGTTCCCTTACTTGTGCCATTTGTTTTGCGGGTTTTAAAGGGAAGCCCCTAAGGAAAACCCGCATTGGGAGTTGCATTTTGGTGGCATCCCCCTAACAGACGCACGAAAACACCTCGCTGCTGTGGAACGGCTGCCCTAGATAGCCAAGTTGCCGTGTTTTTTCAGTCACTGTTGCGATCGGTTGTTGGGGTAAAGTGGATGGAAAGAAGCGAATCGCAACTGGTGATCCAGGCAGAACTTCAGCGAGCGCGGGCAGGGCAGGCACCACCGGGCCCGGGGCCAAGTTTCTCGTGCGTGTCGATCGTCGGGAGCCAGCCAGGACGTCTCCAGGAGGAATGTTCAGTCCTCAACACGTGCACCAGAAAGCCCCGAAATGAACATCCCAGAAAATTCCTGGGTCTCCAAAGGTGGTCCAGGTCACCGGGGTGTCTGAGCTTTGTTTCTGAATTCTTTATGCATGGCGGCCTTTGTAAAAAAAAGAAAAGCCAGGGGTAAACATGTCCTCAGATTCTTCCCTGAGATTGCAAAGCGAGTCGACCTTTTGCGACCTTTTGGTTTTTCCATGTTCCATGTGAAGTGTCAAGGTCCCAAAAGGTGATCACCATTTGTTTCCAGTGATTTGGGACACAAGGTGATCATGTCCAGTCCATGTCCATGAATGTCCAAGGTGATCATCATTCAGGTCCCTTCAAGGTGAAGGTAAACAAAAATCCAAATCTTAGGGAGGGGTGCAGGGCGCCTCGCAAGGTGCTGTCCTTCGCGAAGCTGGCGACCGGCTTCTTCCTCTGCGTTTGGGGCCCGGCGGTTTCGGCGGTTTCGGCGGTTTCCGCGAGGCGCGATGGGTTTCAGCGACGAAGTCGAACGGATCCCGTCAACGGGTTGAACATCTGAGTTTTCTTTGCCCTTTACTCGAAAAATCTTAGGTTTAGAGCTGAAGCTGAAGGTCAACCAAGTACAGGATGCATTTGGGCGGGTGAAGCCAGTAACTCTTGCCTTTGCCAGCTGAGTAGGCAGGCGGGTTTGGCTGCATTGAAGGAGCCCTGACAGAGGAAAATCAAAGTACTGTGTAGACCCAATTCAACGAATCGCGGGCTGCCTTTGCTCGGTCTCGAATGCTTTGGAACCCCATTTGCAGCTTAACAGGCAAGCTTGTCTACTATATTCTACTATCAATTCGGCAACCCCGATAGCGCATCTACACCCAGACTAGTAATTCACCATGAGAGTGACCTTTGCCGCCGGTGAGCTCGTTTTACCCCCGAGTGATTAGGGTGTAAGTTATGGATCCATGCAGGTGGTTGAAAAAATCGTATTTGGCGCATGTACGCTGATTTATTTGCCCAGCACCCACGAAGGCTCCAAAGGGATCGCGAGCGGCGGCCGGCCAGGAGTTGGGATCTGGTGAAACATTTCTCACTGCTACGGAGTTGCACCCGAATCTTGGGACTATAGGATGAGCTGTTGAATCGTTTGGACTTTTGAAGCCACGAGTCATACCTTTTTCTTTTTCCCTCTCAAGTATGTGGAAGTGGACTTTGGGACTTTTGACGCCAATCCACGGTTCTTTTCGTAAGTCGAGGGAACCAGTTAGGCTGCCCGTGTACATTCAACCTATGCTTTGTGGTTGATCTACTTGCAAAACACCGCATCCGTTCATCCGTTGCCCTCACACCGAGGTTCAGCTCTTCCTAGGGGCAGTGGCCGGAACCTGAGCAAAATGAGCTGAATCGTTTGGCCGGGCTCTGATCCTTCCGTTGCTTGAGAAAACGATTATTTTGCCTTGTTGGTTGAAAGGGAATCTGTCACTACTGGACTTGTTTTATCTTGTTTTTGTGGGGTCTCAAGCAAATGGAAGTTTCTCAACCAGGTTTCGGAAGTCTCTTCCGGAGCCGGAATGGCAAGTAGTTGGCAAGCAGCAACCATCATGAGAGACTCAAAGCTCAGAAACCCTGGTGACATACTATGGTGGTAACTGGACACACTGGGTTTTCAAATATCCGCGTTCTAAGCCCAAGCACCACTCAGGCAGTGTTGCGTTTTATTTTTCTCCACGTGCCCGCGAGAGCGGCGCTTGGCATACGTCCGTTTCACGCAAGTCGGATTTGCTCGCAGGTCTTGGAGCTGCGTCTGATCTGTGAATGAGGGGGTGTTCCCCTCCATTGATGATTCCGGAATAAACCCAGGGACACCCTGGGTTGATGAACTTGGTGTCCCCACCACTGAAACCGGCGAAAACTGAAAGTAATACATAAGCTCAGGCGATGTCCCATCCGAGGTCATGTGGCGATTCTTCTTCTTTGCCACGGCCTCGAGTTCCTTCAATTCGGGTGGGTTTGGATGCAATTAGGCGACCCCCAAAACACGACTTGGCGGTGCACCGATGTTCCCCCAAGCGGCTGCGCCCTACTACTAATGAACTAGGGCTTTATCCTGCCGAATCACTTTGTTGCCACACCAGTTTGCCTCTCAGCAAAGCGCTCCGGGAGCGACTTTCTTGTTACCAGGATTGCGTAACAATATCGGGGTGTCATGCTGTTTGGCCGCTGCAACAACGCAATGCACGTAGTGAATTTCGGCAACAATTTGAAACTTTGAGCACATGATAAAGAGAGATTGAAGTAATTTCGCGCATGTGCTGTAGTTTGTGGTTTCGGCAGGTGGCTTCCATGTCGATCATAGCTGCCATAAAATGCATGTGCAGCAGCCACACCCCATGAATAAGCCGTGTGAAGTGAATGCTTGTGAGGGCCTTTGGAGCAAAGGCTGCCAGCCGGTCATTATGCTGATTATTGGGAATCAAATGGCTACGGGGGGCTATCCCAGGAAAAGCCACGTATAAGCCCTTAATAAGAAGGCCTTATTAAGGGGTATCAAGGATGTGACTTTGAGAATGGTAAAATGACGACCCCAGTCAAAGTGGGAACTGTGCGGGGGTCCTAACAAATGTGTTTGTTTTTCTTTTGGGGGGGAGGCCGCCACCTCTCGAAGGACATTCTCAGGGCACTTTGCTGCGTGCCTTGGTAACCTCTATGGTTTGGGGAGTTGAAGTTGAAGCCCTTGTTCCTTCAGATGTCAATGGGAAACCACCCCTTGACCGCCAAACCACCAATCCAAACTACCAATTGGAAGGAAGCTGATCTTCATCAGTGCAAAGGTCGTCAGAAGGTGTCATTTTTGCAAGGGTCGAGTAATGTTGCCACATTTGAAAGGAAAGCACCAGACAGAATCCAAAGATTATAAAGCTCAGATTACACTTGTTTTCTACTAAGCGAAGAAACCCGCTATTGATCCTCCCATCCACTAGCATGGAACCTGCTTGGGGTGTCTTGAACAGTTCTCTAAACGGGGCCCCTCTGAGGTGGCCGGGGTTTGGGGGTTTGGGGGTAACTTCTTGTGACCAGTTTAGGTTCGTTGAAGTTCTTGGCCAGCCTGTCTAGGTCGACACTGGCAAGCTTTTGAGCCGAGTGCTGCTTGGCAACTGGCAAGGGGGCTGGCACATTGGCAGAGGTTAAAAATGAGCCCCTTTTCGGTGCCTAAAGGGAAACGGCGAGAAAACCACCCTTCTCGTGCCCCATTTTGAGAATCCCCTGAAGCGGAGTTTGGGTGTGTCCGAAATGGAGCCCATCGAACATGTGTAAACTTTAGAGCCTCCGGCTCAGTCCGCCGACATTGGCATCTAGCTTGTCTCCTTCTTCCTCTCGCCCGTGTCCCCCTAGTATGCTCTTCTGTCCTCTCTGGTTCCCCCATCCTCCCCGACACGCCGAGCAATGTCGGCGGAGTGTTGAGTGCCACCAAGAGGGTGCTCCCAAAAAGGGCGCCGAACCATGCCTCCAAGTAAAATGTTGGGAAAGGGTGGCGACCAAACAGGGCGTACAATTGCGAACAGGAAGGCTCGCCGTTTAGGGCACCTTAGTGCTGGGTGGTATGTCATGGCCACTGCATGTCATTTTGGCGGGGTGCGCGGAAAGCTGATTTCTGAGGGGTGTTGAGGTTGCCCCTTGTACGGCATTCTTGCTTGCGAGAAGCGTGGCATAGCATGGCCCAAGTATCCGACACGAAGGACATTGGGGGCGACACTTGGAAGGAAGCTGGGGTTGGGGAATTTGCCAGGACATTTGGGGGAAACTGGGGGGGAAATTGGGGGGAAGTCGGATGGAAATTGAAAGGAAAGTGGGAGGGAATTGGTGAGAAAGTAAGGCGCAATTTGCGGGGAAGCATTGGGGGAAATTAGGGGAAATTGGGGAAGGAAATCGGAAAACACCATGTTTTTTTCAATGGTGTCAGCAAAGGAAAAACACCGAACACCGTGTGTCTCAAAGTTTTCCGCAAAAGGCAGCACAAAACCTCAGCCGGCAGAAAGAGGCGGCGGGAGGATTCGAGCCTGGGACCCCCGTTTCTCCAGACCCGCTCCCCGAAGACTACGTTTAGTGGAACGTCATCAAATTGCCGCGCGGTACGCGGGGGAGGGGGGGGGGTGGCGACCGAAAAACCATGCGTATTTGACGTGTCCCGGGGGGACTAAGGGGGGGGTTATCAAAAGGGTGAGCGAGTATGTCGACAGGGTTGTCCCTTTGGCTTTCCCTTTCAAAGCAAGCAGAACAGGGTCGCCTCACAAAGCGACGTCCGTAGTTCATGGACCCCGTGTTTTTAATACATCAGAAGACCGTCTTCGGAAGACCCATTTGATGCTGTTGTTTGAGGGTACCCCTGGGGTGGTTTTAGCGAAATACCAGCCAAGGATCGTTGTGAAGTTCATCCTGCAAGACTTCCCCCAGCAGTCGGGGCACCCGGCCGGCCCGACGCCGGGGAAATGCCAGGATCGAGGTGTCGGAGGTTTGGATGCCCGCGATTTTCGCTCCCGGCGGGCCAAAGAAGTACGAATAGTTTGAGGCTGAAATGACCTGACATGTGGTTTTAGAGCAGCCCACAGAGGCACGCATGCTCATTATTTAGGCCGCTACGTCACCACTCGAGGGAACAGGTGTGCAAAGTATCACGAGCTCACAGATTCAGGGGTAAGTCGAGCTTACCCATCATGGTTGGAAGTTGGTAGGGCTTTCCTTATTTCCAGTTTGGGACATCTTACCAGGTCTACAAATGGAGCATCCAATCCAATTTCTGAACAAGCAGCCCGTGCTCTCATCGAGTGAGCAGCCACCGTTTGAACTCTGGAGTGTGAAAGGTTTGGGACCGTAAAATTGGCGGTGTTCCTGTCTGTTCCCTGCAAAGAGTACCCTCCAAAGCGCACACTCATTATCTCTCTTGAATCTGCAGCGGTTGCTCGAGCGACTCTGTTGGTCGGGAGACTATGGGCACAGACTGGGTTTCCTGGAGATGCGTAGCTTTGTGCGAAGCCCCTATTCAAGCGCGGTTGAGCATGTATCATGCGCCCCCTCAACATGACCAATCCAATGTTCTTGCATGATGTATCCTTTGGTTTGGTCTTTTCCTGCCACGCAATCACAGAGAACCTTGCAGAAGTGAGGACATTTGGTCTACGTACTTGCTTGCCCTACGGATGTTTTACGGATATCTGACATGTGTTTTTCCCATTCTGTCCCACTACAGGGCTTATGTTTTCTTCCCTGGAGGGTTCTTCTTGAGGGTTCTTCTTCCCTGCTGTTTGCCGCGAGCAGCTGGCTCTGCCGGAATCGTTTTGGAAGGTCTCGCGGCCTCTTGATATGGACATTTGGTTACATTGACCCCGTTTGCTTAAGAATATGTTGTATTTTCCCTTGTTGGGTGCAAAAGGAATTCACCACTACTGGAAATACTTCCATTTTTTCCTTGGGGCCTTCTCACCAAATGGAAGTTTGGCACCTGGAATGATTGTAAGTCATCCAGGCAAATGGCCACGCTTGAATAGTCTCAAAGCAGGGGATCCTCAAAATGGCGGTTGTCTTTTCTTCCCCAGAATTAGCTCCCCCCTTTTTGCTTCTTTGCTTTTTGGGGTCCCCATTGTTTTCTACTAACCAGGCAAAATATATATAATATATATATATATATGTATTTTGCTGGGGTCCTAATTCCAGCCAAGTTTTTTGGTTTCCCTGATATATGGGTATGCCACAAAACAATGCCTGAAAGGGCTAGCCTCAAGACAAGACACACACCAAACCTGAGAGCCCGGAGATCAGGATCTGCATCGCAGCTTACCTCTATGCCTGGCCGCTGTCTCAGTGGACCTTTGGACCGGTTGGTTTTCCTATGGGCCATCGGGTGCGTCCTTTGAGCTAGGTCCCCCAGTATTGCCCTTTTACCCTTTTTGGGGGAGGGTTCCCCCACTAAAATAGACTGCAGAAAAAAAGGGTACCCTTATTCTAACCTTCTAACCTCTTTACTGGAGGACCTGGTTGCGGGGAGCCTTTTGAGGTTTGCAAGAAGGAAAGCCAAAGGACACGAAACGGAAAGCACCTAGATTGGGACCCGATTTTGACCCATAGCTTATTGTCGATATTCCAAAAGGCCCCGGAAGTTGAACCTTGATCTTTGTGCCTTGGCTTTCACAGCCGAGGTACGCAGACAATGGGCTGCGCTGCCAGATGTGCTTGTTCCACCCCAATCACTGCTCACGCCTGAGAGGGCGTTAGCGTCGGGCGACCCTCTGGCCAACAATCAAGGACCTGGACAGCGGGCTTCCCCAAAAGAACAGTAGTCTTCCAACAACCTATCAGCTTCCATGATTGTTGGAGGGAGGGTATGTGTTTGCTGTACTGGGTCGACCTCTGGTACCATCTTACATTGTCTTGCGTCGTGGTAGAACAAAGTCAGCCCGGGGCTTAGGGTCAAACCTTGATCTAGTTGGTTACATGAATGTATCTCGCTTGTTGGCGGTTTTACGGCTGTTACATGCTTCTATCACCTGCCTGTCGTAGGAGGAAACCAACCAATTAATGGCTTTCTGCGACCTGCGACCAGCCAAGGGTGGCAAGGGTGGCCAGATGCCCGGACTACGGCCTTACTTGTGAGCTAGTGTCGTCCCCACCTTATCCGGCTGAGGATATACTTGGGCCAACCCCAAAAAGGAAACAGGTTTGTTTCGGCTGTTTTGGGTGCATCCGTTCAGGCTCGAGGAAGACCAAGTTTCGGACAGGACCGTGACGGAAGTTACGTGTGCAGTGGGGCTTTGTTTTTGTGAGGCCCGTTACCCTTTTTCTCCAGCTTCCCATTGATGGTCTGGTGATTCAGGGGTTTGAACCCCTGGTTCGGTTCTTGGGGAGGATAAATGGGAACCCCCCGCTCCAAACTACCAAGCCAAACCCACCCATTAGAGGAATTCCAAGCTTGAACGGGACACCAACAGGAAGTTGGGTCTGAATCCCAATCCATTTTTTCACACATGTGTTGGACAAAGCGAGCAAGGGGCCCAAAAGGTACATGCAAGAGACATCACGGGTAAAATCAGTTTGAATATAGCTCCTGGGGAACATGCTCAAGCTTGCTTGATCCACCACAGGATCCATTGAAACTCATCGCTTGGCACAAATCAGCAGCCCCTTCTATGTCCTTGAGACAGCCCTGAACCAAGATTTGTGCGACCAACAACTTGGCTACGAACTTCAACAGGGAACGATCTCCAAAGTGGCTGGTGGACACTTTGGTGCATTTTGCTTGGGTGTTAGGACATGTTAGGACTTTGACTTTTTGCCAACTGATGGGTTTTCGATTAAGCCACTAACTGTTAATGTTTTAGAAGGGGAGCAGAAAGCAACAGAGGGACATGAATGCCCACCAAAGGGTTGGGACCCATTAAGATTCACCCTGTAATGCCGTCGAAAGGTGATGAGCAGTACCCGCTGCACTTCACCAATCTCCTCGCCACTTGGCCCCCTTTTGCGCGCGGCTTTCGGCAACGCTCCGGAGGGGAAGGAGTGTTAGGAGAGGGGGGGTCTTTTAGCTCTTTTGGGGTTGCGTGCGTAATGGTCTGGTTGGGTGTGGTTTTACTTCTTTGGTGTTGTTTAGCAATAGGTTTCCTTATGTTTCACAATGCGGGGGAGGTTGAAACCACAGGTGCCTTAAACGTATGGATTCCACTGGCTTCAGAGTCTCGGAGCGGCCAGTCAAATCGGTTCCCCACAGCTCGGTTGTCCACAAAATTAATCGACTGGATCCGACCTTCTTTTTGTTTCTTTTTGTTTTGGTTGTCGCATTTTGGGTTCCTATGTGAAATCTCAAGATCAACGGTGACCGCCGTCTTTTTCCGGGTCGCCAAGGGGCAAAGTCCCGAAGTCCTGACGGGCTTGGGATCCATCCGTCGCACCGGCGGAAAGCTTCGCCAGGTTTGCTGCCCATTCCGAAGGTGTCGATTCACGCTTTGAATCGCCGGTGGGCGAGGCGGATCTCCCGAAAGGAACGTTTCTTGGGCGCATTTTGCTAAGGGATGTTAGGACTTTAACTTTTTGCCAACTAATGGGTTTTCCATTAAACCACTAAAAGTTAAACTGTTAGCAGGGGAGCAGAAAGCAACCAAGGTTTGGGAGCACTGGCTTCTCCAGCAAAGCCTAAAGGTCCCTTGTCGCGGAAGACTCAAGCCCTGCTGGGGGCCCAGCCATCCCCCTGAGGCTTCTAACGCTTTTACCCACCAGAAAGAACAAGTCCCCGGCGTATTTCATTTTCGCCGCCCACACGGCGTGCCCTTTCAGCTCGGAAGGCTTCCGGGTCGCGGGTTGGCTGAGGTTTGCTTCTTCACGCTGCTGAGCGCCGTGGCCAATCAGCTGCTGCTGCAGGCCAAGCTCAAGCCAGGCCGATCGCGGGCAGCGGATCGGCCGGGCCGGGCCGATAGGATTTTTTTTTCAGCAGCGGACGTGGCAGGAGGTCAAGCGAGCCACGAGCTCAAAACCGATTCGGGTAGATGAAGGTTAAGGGACAATCCCGGACATAAACAGCTGCGGATGTCCGCCTTCTTAATTCTCTACTTTCTGGGTAGACCATTTTAATGCCGGGGTTTGATTGTAACTCAAGTGGCTGGATACGGTGGATGGTTGAAGCATCCGCGAGTCTCGAACCACCTAAGAAACCCCGGCTTCTGATGATTCCCCTGTAAAATACCCTGGAATGATTCGATTCCCAACGTCCATACCAAGCAAGGCCATGGTTTTCAGCTTGGTTTCACAGTGGTGCGAACTGGATTTCGTTCATGCGCGGGGGAAAAAGCCCAAAATGGGGTTGCCCTACATAGAACCATGCACCAAAAGTTCCGCGGTTTTCTGGGGTACTGAACCAAAAGCCGTATCCATTTGGGGTACTGAACCAAAAGCCGGGAGGGGAGAAACATGTTGGTACTGACGTGGGCGGGGTGTGCGGGATCCTGGCGTGTCGGGGGCTTCAGGTTCCTAGGTGGGCGTGTGGGAGCTGCTTGACATGGACTCGCAGAAAAGGAGCCCGCTGCTTCCTGGGTTCAGAGCCAGACTCGGCCAGGCTATGACAGCGAGGACGAGTGCGTCCTGTTCTTCTTCCGCTTTGTCATGATGTCTGTGAGCGTTCTGCTCTTAGACTGGGCAGGGCCGCTTGCCAGTCTTGCAAACCTATGGGCCTTACGAGGGATATGGTCAAACTGCTGCGCGTAGCTTGGGGTTCACTCAAGGCAGGGGGTGACTCCTGGCATTCCACTCAGCTTCATTTCCGTGAAAAGGGTGAGTGGGTTCGTTACTGCCCATGAAGGTGGTTATACCTAGCATGTCTCCTGACATGTTTCACTAAAAAAATGTCCATAATATTATATATACATATATATATATATGTATGTGTATTTATAATTAAGTGAACCACACTCAGCAACATTCAGCAACATTAGTTAGGGGTTTCGATTAGCGAACGCAAAATCGCCGGGCTGCGTCTCGAGACCTTGCCCTTCTCCACGGCCATGTGCATCTTGTCCGCCGTCCTGCTGCACTTGCCGCGCGGCAAGATTCAGAGTGGAGGCCCTTTTCGTTTTTTTTTTTTTTTTTTTGAAATGGCAAGCCAGGGGATTCAAGCAAAGCGAGCTGGCTGTTTTTAATGAAACTTGTTCGGTTCCGCAAATGTCAGGTCCTGTTTTTCTTGGTTTGTTGTTGCTAGTATCGGCAGAACGCCAGGGCGTTTTGGACATCACTTTGGTTGGACATCGAGGTTGGACGGTTATGGGCCTTGTTTTCAAGCCTACAAGTGATTGAAAAATGAATTTACTTTTGTTTAAAGGTTATTTGTTTTCGTGGTCTAACACCAACAGGAAAATCACATATATATATATATATATATACATATGTATATATATATATACATTTTTCGTGGGGAGCGTCCCCCCGAAAAGGAACTACATTTGCAGTTTGGTTGGTGATGGTCAAAGAGGACAAATTTAGGAGCCATGCAAGTTCTTTCTCGCCAGTTGGATCGTGCTTGTTTCGGGAAGATTGAAAGATAAATCTGGACAAACTATAGCGGCTACCTGACGGATGCAAGTTGTTCCCTCTTGGTGTTGATTACCCAAAGCATTGGATTTATGGGCTGCCATGGATGAAACATTGCGGAGGCAGCGCATCAAAGCGTTGTACTTCCGGTTGTCTTCTCGCTTTGGGTTGTCAGCAGCGAGAACCTTTTTCAGCTTTTCAGTGCCTTGTGTTCATGTTGTGCGTTTGAGGGGCATGTTCAGGAACCACATTTGGAGGGCAACATAACGCCGTGCGGTAAGTGCCTAGGGCCTACGATATGCATCACATGGGTGCATCTTTTTGTCGAAGCCACCCTTGACTTTTGTCTTTTGGTCGCCCTTTAAAACCCATCCGAAAAGGGGTCCCCTATTCTGAGAATTCCCCCAGATTTTGAGCATGGGCGTAGGGACCGAAAAGAACCTACGCTGCGCTGAGGAAGTCGGCCACGGTCTACTTCATGTCAGGTGTGCCAACCATCCTTGGATGCTTGGCCGAATAACAGCTGGGTGTACCTTTTTCACCCCCCTACCCAAATTTGGGAAATATAGAGATCTCCTTTTTCGGTGCTTCCTTTGATGTAAGGGGGACCTTTGGCTTGGGGGTTCTTCTTGTTAGTCGGCTCCAGGAACGGCATGAACACTCAATGCAGTTCCCTTCCCAAGAATCGGCAACTAGATTGTCTCGTTACTGGCCGCGCCGTCAGTCCAAGTGGGTCGAGATCTGGGACTTCAATTCGGGTGCCACAATCCCCCCCCTCACTGGAAGTCGGTTGTGCATCCTCTCTGTCCCGTTTGATGTATGCTTCCCGCCAAAGGTACCAATGGGCCCTGAACGATCTTAGTGCACGCAGGAGGCAAGATGCAAGAGTCAAGTGAGGTGAGCCCAGCTTGCTTGCTCTGCCCATTGTCGTAAGCTTAGTGAGGGTTTCCTGTTTGGGTTGGCTTCAAAGCGTAACTAAAGGGAAGACCACCGTTTTTGAGGTTGGGGGGCTTTAAACAAACTACCCATATTTCCAGCTTCTGGTTTTAAACATCCGAGTTGCTCTTTTTTTCAGGTGAGTTGCCATTGGGTTTCCTTCGGTAGGTCATGTTTTGAGGGGAATTGTGGGACCGGAACTGTAAGCCGCTGAGACCCGCGGTGCCGCCTTTTGGGCGCGTGTTTGGGGCAATGAATCTCAGCAGGAA